GATCTCTGCCAGATATTTATGCAAATGAAAATAGGTTTCATCAAAGAGGTATAAGATCTATGTTCTTCCCTTCACAAAAACAGAGGGAAAAAGTGAACAGTCAATTTCAATGAACAAAGTTTTCCTTTTATGTTTTGTAAACAGTATAAAATCAGTCCAAGAAGGAAAAGTCTACTGTGGAAACCAAATGATGCTACTAATATTTACATATAGATATTTTCAACTCTCAAGCAGCAGGCATTGAGGTAGAGAGAACTACGCAAGACAAATATCGCAGCCCATCCTGAATTTGCTTGACCGCAGAACTCTGGCCTGTGCGGAGAGTTTCAAAATACATATAAAGCTTTTTTCTCAACCGATTTATCCGGGAGTTGTTGTGAATCAGAAGTAGCACTTTTAATTGCAGCTACATCTGATATGCCTGAGGAGATTCAAATAATATAAATAAATTTTTCATTGTAGGAAAAAGAATTACGGTGATTACACTCTGAACAGGGGAACTATTTCTGCCATGCTTAAGTGAATTACTAGGAGGCTAAGATTAAAGACCAAGTTAATTCATTTCGATACTAATTAGTTAAAACCGATTATTTTTAAAAGACCTCATAATCATCAATTAAATTATATTGTTTCAACTTGGAATGTTGTCATTAATCAGTCTCCCACCAAAAATGTACCCAGTGGTAGGTGATAATTTAAAACTACTAGAACAGAAACTATCCCCCACCTTGACCCACCCAAGAACCAGGAAAATAAAAGGATGTTCGCCTAAGGAGAAGGTACATACTCAATACAAGTTGAAACCCTTACAAAACACTTGGTTACCACTGAGGCTATATGAGCTTTCAGATGGAGCATTCCGCATTAACAAAAAGCACTATAAAACTTAACAGAGAGAAACCCTAGCCAAGCATACCTGTAATAAAACTTTTTGAAACTGCTTCCACATTTACGGTCATTGATTGCACCTTTGTTCTGATTATCTTAGCTTTTTCAACAAAATCCTCAGGCCAATCAATCTTCAGAATTTCCTCATCAATCTCTTCGTCTTGAATTTTGTTAGCATTAGCTATCATGGATTTCCCAAGCGCAAGAAGTTGAGTCAATGCGAAGCAGCAAATTTCTGAAATTCTCTGTGCAGACAGCCAAAGGATTCAGATAAATTATAAATCTATTGCAGAACAATTGTGTAAATAATTAATGACAAGCATTCTGTAGTAATTAACATTCAAAAACAATCTGCCTACATGAACACCCTCCGATTGAAGAGAATCGAGTCTCCCAACAGTTTTTGAATTATGTCATCTGGAGGTAGTCCAGCCAAAGCATTTGTAAAACTGCAATAGATCAGATGACTTTTAGCCCCTGGCTGTCTCCTTTAAAACAAAACTCTTTAATTCTCATACTCATTTTCAACCACACATTCACACAATAAAATATTTTGCATGTTAAATCAAAACTTTTCTCAACTTTTTAACCACACATTCTCCAAAAAAATCACTATTCAAATCATAATTTTTTCAAAATGGGCTTAGCTGCACATTATGCAGCTAAGCCCATAATCACAATTTCCATCCCTGATAATCCTTCTACACTTAGACGTTTTCTACACTCCCCCTCAAGTTCGACTATAGATGTTGACCAAGTTCAACTTGCAGTTAAAGTCATCGAAGACTTGTTTGGATAACCCTTTGGTGAAGATATCCACCTTTTGCTCTTTTTTCGACACATGTCATTCAAATAATTCATTCATCCACCTTTTCCTTATTAAAATATCTATCTACTTCTACATGTTTGATTCTATCATGTTGCACTGGATTGAGAGAAATGTTGATCGTTACTTTGTTGTCACAGTAAAGTTTGATTAGAAGTTTCATTTCAGCTTTCAGTTCTTCCAAGAGTTTCTTTATCCATAATCCTTCACATATTCCTTTTGCAACTGCTCTAAATTCAATTTCTACGCTACCTCGTGCCACTACATTCTGTTACTTGTTTTCCAAATTACTAAATTTTCTAATACAAAGGTACGGTAGCTTGAAGTACACCTCCTATATTCAGTTGATCCAGCCTAACTAGCGTCAGTAAATATTTTTACTCCTTTCCATTTATTTTTCTCGAAAAACAGTCCTTTCCCAGAGGTAGCTTTTAAATATCTGAGAATTTTATATACAGCTTCCAAGTGAGCCTCTTTGGTAGAATGCATGTGGTGGCTTACCACGCTGATTGCAAAAGCTATGTCAGGTCTAGTGTGTGGA